AAAATATGATCATATCCAAACGCTGTCTTTTATACACATCTAGGTGTGTATAAGAGACAGGTATCAAAGACCTAATAAACAATGAGGATACAGTACTCCGAAGTTATTAATACAAGTCGTCATAATTAAATATTTGGAATTATATTTTGTTCATTCTAATGACCAAACGATGAACAAATGAACACAAATTTTGAATCCCTATGTCTTGTTTTCACCTTATTTAATATAATATAGCCAATGATTGAAAGTTCTTGCATTATACATACAGTAGGCCTACTACTTGATTTTGTTTATGATTTGCTTGCATTGGAAGGTTATTAGGCTTAACTGACGATCCTTTGAAATGAGCTGTTTTCTCGAGTAGATTGTATACTCAAGTTAGCACGCCTCCAAACTGCCCAGTGGTGGAGCGGGATCCCTTCATGGAGGGGATTTTCCCCACATTATAATTCAATCCCACGCGATTGGCCTACGTCTTATAATTCAAAAAACACTCTAATTATTATTGTGGAAATGAACAACCACTAATGAGCATCTTTTCTTCAAGCGAAAAAGGGAAAACCTTTAACATTTTATTTTATCTCCTGTTGTAGTTTTCATACAAAAATATTGAAATTCATTTTGGACTGTTTTTTTTCTCTTCCTTTGTTAGTTGATATGTATGCGCTCCGCGCCTGTTCCTCTAAGGGTTTTCTTTTCTAGGCTATAGAGATTCTATGTTATTTTAAAGCAGTTTCTTTAATTAAGAGGAGCATAGAGATTCTAGTTCAGTTATGAGCTAGTCAAAAATTGGATTAGATACGGTACCCATTACACCTCAGCGCATTATGATCATTTTTTTCCCGATTCGATAATAGAATTGTGTTGAGCAGCTATACATTCTTCATTGATGACGATGACTGATGGTTATTTTCTATTATAAAACTATATATATTTTATTTAATTTGATTTGTTGAATGCTCGTCACGTAGGATGACTATTTCACGGTTACAAGGATCGTTGAATAAACTTTCACATGAACTATTATATATCATTGCACCATAAACATTCATTATTTGCATATTACCAGTAGGGCTATGTTGCGGCTTGGTTAGGTCACTATCATGACTTCTCAATTACATGTAAACTTTAGTGATTAATAACATTTTTCAAAAATGTTTCGATAAAAATAACAATTAGTATTTTATTTAAAAAAATAATGTATTGGTTTCTGTCTATTTCGATCCTATAGACGGCCGAGGAACATTTATAGGATACACATGCACACACACTACTACTGATAATTAAATTCTTACTTTAATTTTCGAGTGCCAACTTTTCGTATTTTGAAATTTTAATATAAGAATTGTTTTATCCAATAACTTAAAGAAAAAAATGATAACGTGATCATGAATAGTAGGCCTCTAATTCACAGTACTAACAATTTGTCCCGAGTTCATCCATTACGGTACCATAATTGATTACAGTACAATGTTGTCTTCTCCTAACCATTACATCACATTGCCAATAAATAATGATAGGCTTTGGCTCTTACCGGCGAATAATATTCAAACTAAATTATAGTGTAAGCACAAGCTCATTGTCAGAATTGCATGCTCTCGATTTAATTAACGGCCACAAAACATTTTCGTTCTATCTACTATCTTCTCAGTGGAGTAACACTTTTTCTTTCTTTTCTTTTTTTAAAAATTTCCCTTCACATCCAACAGCAAGTACACTCGCCACTTACAGGATGGAACGATGCTTTTTATAGATCAAGTTTCAGCTTATTACGGCCTGGAGAGTTTAGTGTGATTTTAGTCAGTTGTGAGATAAAGTATGGGCTTTCGTGGGGCCCACGGGCCTCCTACTAAGGTTCAGTCAACTACAAAGCCTTTACGGTCCAATAAAAATTACTCTACAGCAGGCCCCACTACAAACTTAAATTTAAATAGCTACCGTACCTCGTCGCAATCGGGATTGCACTTCGATTCGTCTGCAACAAATTCTGCAAAGTTGAAGCAGGCTCAACCTTCCCGGCAACTGTTGGCGATATGGTGTAGCGATTGTATGGAAACCAAGCTTGTATTTGCATCAATGAGATATCAACTTAACGACAAAATTATAGCCTATAAAAGATAACAGACTACGGTATCAACATTAATAATGTGAGGGGCTATCCTCCTTCATTCTTTCATTCATTCATTCATTCATTCATCATTCACATGAAAACATTGATTAGAACTAAAGTATAGTTTTTTTTCAATGTGTATTGTTAAAACGATCTATTTGTTTCTGTCGTAAATACCGAGTGTATGTGGGTTCATTACGTGAGATTTGCCAACATAGTCCTTTTAGATCTGGTTTGAATCTTAGATTTTTTACAGTATCCAAACCACCATCTTCCTCTTTAGTGCAGTTTCTCAGTAACTCTCTTTGTTTCTCGTGAAATATTTTCAATTCACTAGCCATTCTATCAAATCCAAAATCTTCAATTTGTTTCCATAAACTGGCATTAAATCGATCATATAATAACACGTCCCAAGCGTTCCATTTACGTATCCGATACTGTAGGGCTTCATTAATTTCCAATCTTTTAGTTCGAACTAATTTTGGAGCATAAAGAATATCGTCAAAGCTCCAGCATAGTTTATTTTTCAGCAGTATCAATGATTCATCAAAGTATTCCATGAGAATAACAAAATCTAGTTCTCTCTCCATGTTTGCGATGATAATATTTGCCATTATATCGGTCTCTATTTTCTGTTTGTAGTCAAAATGATGGAAAACAACATCTTTTTTGGAGGACAGGAGTGGTGGTATAGACCCTGACTTCTTCGCTGCCTCCACACGATTCATGAATTCCTCGAGAGGGTGTGAATAGTTTTGAAGCTTAAGATGTTTTGCCCAGCCGAAGTAGGCAAAGTAGGAATCGAATACGGATACAGGTTCCCGTATAATTGTGGTGTAGAACGAGTCCGATGGCATGATTTCCTCAAAACCTAAAAATAATTGCAAAATAATCGTTAACATGGTATATTCAGATTCTATTTATTTCTAAAGAATATTCATTACAAAGGTGAAAATAACATTATATACATATATATATATATATATATATATATATATATATATATAGGCCTATATATATATGTATATACTTGTTTTGATTTGCTAGTATATTTTGTTAAAAATTACCGGTAAATCCTTGCCGAGCCAGGGCTCAGTGTTGGAGTTTATCCCCAATTTCTGTAGCGTGAAGCGGATGTGATTGTAATACTCCCCTGACTGGGGCGCTAGTCCACGACAGATCAGCAATTTGCTGACACCCATTTGATACAGCTGGGTAAACTGAAGGCCTGGATTAAGTGCATGCCCAAGGGCACAAGCGAAATGTACCGCGAATGATTGATTTCACATATTTTGTGAACAGGACTTTATTTTTAAAAATTTAAATGATCATTCAATCTTTTAGTTATTTTTGGGTTTTTCAGATTTTTTGGATTAGCATAGAAGTTGCTCCAAACTATACAACCACATGGGCTCTTGTAGATATTACTAGGTAGTAGGCTAGAACTTACCCTTTCGATTAAATGTACAATGATGACAGAGTAAGTTGTATTCCGTAGTTGGTAACGTTTGCACCATGCTTGGTAAAAAAAGTTTGGACAAACTGAAAATATGATCATATCCAAACGTGTTCTCCAGCGGCATTGCAAACGTCAGGTTACGCGTGTCTCCGAAACGTAAAAATATATTTTGGGTCGTCGAACTTCCACATTTGTGTGTTTTGAAGAAGACAATATTTCGGTGAGGTTTACAAGGTCTATAGTCGGTTGATATCTTGGAATTTGTATGAGTCGTAAATACCGACGCATCCACTTTCTGAAAAGTAAAATTGTAATTGTCGTTTATTGTACAATTTCAGAGATAAATTGTTTTGATTTTTTTTACAACAGTGGTTAATTTAAGGGAAGCGAAAGGGGGGCCAGTCCCGATAGCAGCGAAACAACGTCTAACAAATGTGAAATTCTGAGACTCACACTCATTGCAAGTTTACAGAGAATAGCTATAGACCTAGTCCTATCATCTCAGGTTGTGAGCAATGGTGTATCTAAAAGTGTTGATATGGGGAACTGATGGGGTGGGGTGGGGGTTTAAATACCGGTAGGCCTACGCCACTGATTGTGAGCTTGTGTTTGGCACACATACAATAGGCTTTTATAAATGTACAAAGTTGTAAACATGGACTTACAATACTTGTGTTCGTTCCATTTCTTTCGTAAAGAGTAGTTGAATATCTTATTGAAACACTAGGTAATGCCTCCTGGACACGATCTACGATTCCGACACTTTAATAACAGAAAACAAATTGTAAATACATCAAAATATTATCAGTTTTAAGGAAGGGAAAAGTAGACCTTAATTTGATAAGTAAGCTTAATCTTTGCTAAATGTCATTGTAGGCCTACCATATATTCTGTATTACTTACCACACAGATTAAAACAATATATTTCAACTGTTGATTAAACAACACTCTTCTATGTATAAATAATTTAAATATATACATACACTTAAGGAAATAAAATGTAATAGGCCTATTCAGAGTTAAAAAGCTAGGGCAACAATCCCATAAATAGATAAGTCATATTATTAGCCAAAACCGTGAGATGGGGTTGTTCACGGTGCCTTTTTGTTAAAAAATGAACAAATACAAATTGTAGTGAATTAATGGGAATAAATGGCAAAGTAGGTCTACTTTGAACATTAACAGCACAATTGCATAGTCATAGCCATCGATACTCGGTCCTGAATTTTGCACCTTGCGTAAAATTTAGTGGACGTAATGTTTCTAATCAGCACCCCAACCCCTTTTTCAAAATCCTGGAAACGTCACTGAGCATCATAAAAACATAAAAGATGTATTTTTACACCACATTCAAGATGATTTAGCGTCTGGGGTAGGCCTGTGGTGATCATTCTAGTTCTATCACAAACCTTATAATAAGGACTATAATTTTGATTTCACTTTACCAAAAACATGTATTGTACTACGTGTTGTTATTACACTTTGTGTATTCCATAGTTTGGTTCAAATTAAATGTAATTATAATTTCATTTTAATTAAATGGAATACGAACAGTGAATATTTAAATTGTTACGGTATTTATTTCCACAATACATTAGATTTGTATTGCGTATGTGACATCGCTTCATATTTCAATTGGAGCAAGGGTAAACACGGTGGTATTGAAGCTCCACGTCACTTCGTAAGCTAATAGTTATCGATTGATTGTTGGGTATAGAAATCTATGATAGGATAGAAATGTCAATAATAGTAGCCCTGCCATACTAAAATATATCTAATATCAAATTTATTATTATTTTATTAAAAAATTATGCGGTATGAAACAAATACACTACAAGACGGAAAATGGTATTAACGAGAAACAAAAAAACTTAGCCATACCATACTAAATTACATCTAATGGTTTATTACTATTTCATAAATAAAAAAAAAAAAAAAAAAAAAAAAACTTAAACTGGTGGTTATCAATCGGTTCTGAAGTATAGAAATTGAATGATACGATGGAAATGTGACTAACAGTAGCCCTACCGTAATAAAATCAATCTAATATCAGATTTATTATTATTCTATAAAAAAAACATTATGCGGTATGAAACAAATACTTTACAAGATGGAAAATATCAATAACGAGAAAAGAAAAACTTGCAATTAGCCCTATATATGTCTCTTATACACATCTAGATGTGTATAAGAGACAGGCCTACGCCACTGATTGAATGTCTATTAATGTCTGTCTATTAATCCACAATCTATTTGATTAATTAGTATTTGGTAGCTGCGGACAAAATACAGCAAAAATACGTAAAATGCAGAGATAAAACTCGAATTAATTATTTAATTACATGTCCTAGTACTTTGAATGCTGTGACACTATATATAACGGTACAATACGGTAAATAGAGGAAAAGACATTTACATCCAGTGTGTCAGGGCTTAGGAAAGACAGTTAATTTAGGAGATACATTTTGTAAAAACTTACCTTGTTGGATTTAACCAGTAAGCGAAAAAAGCTAAAATAAGAACAACATACAATATAAAAGTTAGAAGAAGTTTCCTCATCGAAGGTAGCATTGCTGGTGGTTCGTTTTAGTTGAGTGACAATATCAACTGAAAGCAACCCAGAGAAAACCGGGGCGAGGCTACTATATACTACTAACATGAATTACTGAACATCACTTTCAGCCCGTTACAAATCAATATCACGTGTTGGTTTCACGGATTTTCCAATATTAGTTCGTATAAAAAGTGACGCTTCGGTTTGCACGCTTACACAGCTGGTGTATTCGCAATGACATCGGACAAGCCTATTTAGACCGATGAGTAAATTAGTGTTTTAGCCTCACTCATCCGAATTTTCGGATCGGAAGGCTTACCGAACCGATCCGAAAATCGAATCATTGTGGAAAAATAGGGACGCTGTCGTTCAGCGCATCGGAATTTCGCTTCGGATCCGATGTGAATGCAGCTTTAGACATGTACTTATTCACATATAAATAATAAAATATGCGGAAAGCAGCAAGAATATTGGGAAAAGTTAACGATATACCATCGACCCTTATGAAAGACACATAATAATTGGATTGCTCACTTTGTAAATATAAATCTTTACTTAGACATGGCGCTTAGAGACCTTGTTTATTTGCGCCTTATAAATCGACCTATTATTATTATTATTATTATTATTATTATTATTATTATTATTATTATTATTATTATTATTATTATTATTATTATTATTGTTATTATTATTATTATTATTATTATTATTATTAATATTATTATTAGACCATTTAATTCTCGCCAAATAGCTGGCATATAAGCATAAAACATCTTCTGTATTCATTTGCATAAACTTTTTTTATTAGTTGGTAATCAATTTAAGACTTTTTGTACTAAAACGTCTTTGAGAAGAAATGTACGTATTGCAATTCAATTCAGTCCATTGATTCAGAAGTTGCACTTAAGTCAAATACTGAATAGCGGCGATATTTTCCTATAGCAAACTATAAATATTTAAACTATGCATTGGCTCCCTGTATTTCCAATTTGGCCTGGATCCGCCACTGGAGCTCATCTATTCTATCAGATGATGGTTAAATCTTGCAATATCATGATAATCGATGTAAGCCACCTGTTCCAGGCATGAATTTAGATATTGGAGTGTTGAAGGTAATCTTGTAGACCCAGCAAGCTCAGCAAAAATAACATTCTTCAATCAAAAAGTATAACACTATCTTTCTTTTACCCTTCACATCATAGAACATCACATTCCGTGTCTTTTGAACAGGCGGCAACTGAAATGTTAATATTGATGTTATTAATAACATTGATGTTATATAATTGAAATGTATATGTTTCGCGGATGTGTTACATTATTATTAAATTTGTTGAAACGGGCAAAGGCAGTGATGGTAGGAACTGTATCAACAGTGATTAAAGTATTAACTAAATTTAGATAGTTCCTTTGACGATTCCTCGTATATGCGGATAAGCCTACCAACTGGACGGATAATAGAATTAGTTGTCCGATAGGGGTAAAATTGTTTGTTTGTTTACTGATCTGTAGGCCTATACATTATAATATTAGTTTGTTATAGACCTAATACATATAGGCCTATGCAAAATATAATATATCATATCATCTGAGAGCAGTTTTATATATATATATATATATATATATATATATATGATAATCTATTATATAATATAAATATATAATATAAATATATAATGTATAATAAAATGTGCATAATATATAATAATTAAAATATAATACAGGCACATATACATAGACATATATAGGCCTATACATATACATATACATACATATATATATATACTGTATATAATATATATATGATAATTTATTATATAATATAAATATCTAATATAAATATATAATATATAATAAAAATTGCATAATATATAATAATTAATTAAAATATAATACTGTATAGGCCTATAAAATATAATATACATATATACAAATATATAATATATAATAAAAATTGCATAATATATAATAATTAATTAAAATATAATATAGGCCTATAAAATATATAAAATATAATATAGGCCTACATACCGGTACATGACACATAGCGAACATGATGTACGCATATCCACTGGGACATTATTGAACACCAGTGGCGCCATCCTGGTGGCACCCCTGCTCTCTGCATACACCAGAGATAGCACCTCCCTGCATACACCATTTGCTAGATTTTGTTCGATCCAATATATTTAGTTTAAGTAGACCTAAAGCTTAAGACCAGTGTATATCAAACTTGAAGTTACGGTGCTTCCCTTCTAGCTACATGGTCCTGGATCCAAGTCCCGTCAGACGTCATAAGTGTTTCTTAGTCGACCAAAAACAACTCCACTCCTTCAGTCTCAAAAACAGACTTTGAGCATCGTTGATGTGAAAATATATTTAAAAAATTATATAAATAGTTAAAGAATATATTTATAAATTATATTATTTAAAAGAAATTGTAATTTAACCGTAATATAATAATATATCCATGTGGCATCGAACAAAGCGGACATTAGCTACACTATTATCTCTTCGTAAATCAGTGTTTTACCCATTTAAATAATTGATTGGATTTATCATCAGTGTGATATTTTGAGTCAATAACCAAATTGATTATGTTATAGGTGCAAGTCCGGCCTTTTGTACCTTGTAGACTTTACTTGTGGTTAACTAGCGATAGTAGATTTTGACATTTGGCTGACTTCAGAGAATGCAGTTTAGTTTTGGTTACATGAACTAGATGTAGAGAGGTATTGCACCAGTGGTGGAGGTAAATTTATCCTTTGACTGGGTTTGATGTGCGTGGGTATATTTTGAGTACGAACAGGACCTGTGCTATATACATACATGTGTGTGTGTGTGTGTGTATATATGCTGTCTCTTATACACATCTAGATGTGTATAAGAGACAGACGTTTCAGTGTGCGAGGGTCCAAATTCAAGATTTTATGAAGGTACAGATTCCTGTGTTGAGGTCTGGTGTATCGATAAGCTAAATTCGTCCTATAGTCCCCTAATACCAGTCCACTCTTCTTTTTGAAGCATATCTTGCTATGTATTTGTTTTTGTGTTACAGCAATAAGGCATAGATAAGGCACTCTACATATAGTTGTTCAATGATCATTTAAGAATTTTCCTTCACAGTCTAAATTATTAGAGTAATAGGTACAGGTAATTTCTGCAAAACAGCCTATCTTCTTCAGTTTAAAACATGGAATTGATAAATTAATTTTGGGTTGTTTAGCCATCAGTAATAGTTTTACCCCCCCCCCCATCATCATCCCATGGCCTTGGTTCCCAGGTTATATTTATTAGTGTGACGTAATGTGTCTCCAGTGTCTCCATTGTTTCGTGATGTTTCATGAAGTACACTGTCTACTTTAACACTATAACCATATATATAGCCATATGATTCAGTCATATTACTGTCCTGTTACAAACATTATATGATACAGTCATATAATTCTTATAACAGAAATTATAGCTTTGTGATTATTTAAATTTAGTATGACTATTGTACAACGGAAATGGTAAAGGTAAATAGAACATTCTCTAGAATGGTATGACTGTTGTATACAGCATCCAATATAGTAATGGTAGTTATTTTATTTTGGCTAGAGAGGATATGAATGCTCGTATGACAGAAATGATGAAAGTAAAGGTAGGCCTATAGGTGACTTGCAGCTTTAACAGGCTGAAATGCGCACGCACAGGCGTAGGCTATACTCATTCAATAAATTTCTTCTCCCCATGGGTCACATAATGTCTAATCATACACAATTCGATAGATAATTTTACTAGCTTTCGTGTGATACAAATTATATTCAAACTGAATCTTCCACTGACGGACTAGTGGGGTGGGGGGGGGGGTAAAAATTTGCCTTTTTTGGTCAAATTTGACACCTAAATCCAAAATTCGGCGTGGCAACAGCCGATTCCGTGTGAGGTAAGAGCTAGTAATAAGGGTTCGCCTTGTTGCCAGCTTGTAACAAATTATGCCTACGAAAACATTTTTTTAGCAATTTCAATCTGATGCCCACCTGCCTAAAAGTCAGAACATGTGTTTTCAATGTTTACCTTTTGTTTCCGTTTTTCCGTTTGTAAATGGAGTTGAACACTTTATATGTATTTTTGCTTTTTATTGAGCATCTTTTTTTCTGCTTTTGTATTTCGATGTTCCTAACAATGAAAATAAAGTTTGAATTTGAATTTGAAATTAAAATCAGTTGAACTCTCGAAATAATTGGTAAAATAGAACATAATTCGAACTTTAATATAAACATAACAACTTTCATATTAAATGTTTTGTTCAATGATCGCTTTTCAGGATTATTCCATGGGCAGGTTCCGTAACTTTTGTAAACTTGTATTGCTGTTGAGTCTGTTTCTCTCCGGTTGTTTGTTCTGCTGGACCGAATTCTCGCTTAGGGATAGGAGGTATAATTATATTTACTTCGTAATTTTACAATACCAGCATCGTATATCATTATCATTTAAATATTAGACGGTTTGTCATTCAAATTTCTAATTAAATAAAATGTATTATTATTATTATTATTATTATTATTATTATTATTATTATTATCATTACTATTATCATTATTATCATAAAAATCATCATCATCTTCATCTTCATCATCATTTCTATACTCATATCATCATCGTCATCATCATCGTTGTCATTGTTATTATTAGCATTACATTATTATCATTATCATATAATATCATTGTCATCATGATCATTGTTATTATAATCATTATCGTTATTATAATATTATTGTTATTATTATTATTATTATTATTATTATTATTATTATTATTATTATTATCTCTAGTGTAATTCGTCAAATCTGGAAAGAATACACGGCTAATACAAACGTCAAGGATGTATTCAAAAATTATTATTCAAGAATAAATACAACAGAGCAGCAAACGCGTCGCAATGATGAAATTATCTTACAGGAGGAACCTAGTACATCGATACAAATTTTTACCACCACGAACCAGCATACAGTGACTGGGGGAAAGACCCAGGCAACGTCGTGTACGCCTCAGAAGAATATCGCCTTCATGAAGACCCACAAGTGCGGTAGCTCCACAATGCAGAACATAATAATGCGATACGGCGACACGCGCAATTTGACATTTGCTCTTCCGAAGATCGGGAACTATGCGTACGATCACATGTTCACAATGCTCAAGCCGCTAAGAAAAGAATATGTGCAAGAATTACCTGTCTCCAGGTACAATATTCTTTGCCATCACTGTATATTTAATGCGTCAGGTAAGCATCTATGTTAATCCATGATTACATGTTATTGGTTGATAAGAATTAAAGACACCATCTTAACAAAACCCAAGAGAACATTGATTTCCATTTACAAACATATTATTATTACAAGTCCGATTATTTTTCCTGAAGCTTGGTTTCCATAAAATCGCTACGCACTATCGCCAAAATGTGTGGACGACACTGATTGGTCTGGTAAAATAGGAGAGGCTTCTATATATTCAGTGTAAATGTAGGGAATTGTAGCGATATTATGAAATCACGTTTTACCAGATGAACCATTAACTGATTGGTAGTGTGGCTAAGCTAAAATCGATGAAGTACACATGGCAGGATCCTATACAAACAATGCACCATTGTAGGTACTAAATGTCATAAGTAAATCAATGTAATGCAGTATGATGTAGGCCAAATAGTTTCTTTTGTTTTTTATTTTTTTAATTGCGCATTAATATCTAATAAGTCGTCAAAATTAATTATGAAAATTGGTAATTTGTTCTACCTGTCTCGTGATAGACTAATCCCACAATTATATGATGCTTGTTGAAAAAAAAAAACATCCTGTACTCTCCATTCAGCGCATAGTAAATTTCACTTTAGACATGCTCGTTGATTGTTGAAGATAAATTACCCGCAATTGCGAATTTATCACATGAACAGGGAGGACTGCATGCCAAAACGGAACTCAGAATTATTATAAACATAGGCCTATTCATTTCTCTTTGTAGCATTTAAGGATATCGTGTATGATGGCGCTCTCATTATGACTGTTATCAGAAGTCCTGTTCGAGTTTTCGAGTCAACGTTTTCGTACTTTGGATGGGCTAAGCACTTAAATTTACTTAATTACACAAACCCTTTACTCGAGTTCATGAACAGAGCTGAGAAGTCATCCAATCACAAGTACACTTCAAAACGAAACCCAATGTTACATAGTTTCGGATTGCTAAATCGCACAACCAATGAAGCGACAATCAATTCATTCATAGATCATCTTAAATCCGCGATAGATTTTGTAGTGATCACCGATCATTTTGATGAGTCGTTGATTTTACTCAAGGATAAACTTTGCTGGGATTTCGATGACATTGTCTATTTTCCTCAACTTGTCCGCCACGACAGAAATAGGAACAATATTGACGGAAATTTAGCGGAGCGAGTCAAAAGATGGAATTTCGGTGACGCGAAATTGTTCGAGTATTTTAACCAATCACTGTGGAGAAGAATCGAAGAATTCGGACGAGATCGTATGCGGAAAGAATTGGAAAAGTTTAGAGAGCGGAAACAGTTTTGGAAAGATAAGTGTACGGAGGGTGACAATATTTCACGTTTTTTCATTGCTCTGAAAACGAAGCCTGGACTTGGTATGGGCTCTGAGTGCTGGCAAATGACCAGATCAGAAATATTCTACACCCGCTACATACGAGGAAAACAAGTAGAATCGTTCAATATAACTGAAAAATAGAGTGTGAAGAGGGATGTTTGAATGCTCGTGTGTTTTATACGCCTGAGTTCTGATGGATTTTTTTTCCGCTGACAATAAGCCTATTTATTGACTATATTACAATGCTATTTTTTAATAGTAATTTATTTCAGTTATTATATGTTTTAGTTTCTTAAATCAAGCTAAAGTAATGGTGTTTCAAAGTCATATTTACAGAAAAAAAGCTCTTTAATAGGAAACGTAATATCCATAGAATATTCTCAAAAACTTCGTTACCCATTTCCACTATTAATGTGTAACTGTAAGTGCCTTGGACGGATCCACGAGTCAAGTCGATGAAGTCACACTATCCTCAATTACGTAATAATATTTATATTATTGTTTTACAAAAATGTTAAATGCTTCTCCGCCATTTCCACCTTACCTGATTCTAACATCTAATATCCATCGTTACGATTAATGCAACGAATCGCTAATGTGGCAAAGCAGAGACGAAATGATATTGTGTATACTGGAATTCCTTATGTTATTCACAATGATCACCATAGAAAAATTGTCTGCCTGAATTTGGGATTGGTGTGCATAATGATAAGTTTATTAAACAGAAAAATTATGTCAGTTCTTTCTCTAATTCAAGCAGTGGCGCACTAAGAGTCTTGTAATGGGACCTGTGGGGGTGGGGGTGGGTGGGCGAAAGAGAAGTTGTGACACGATGATTAGGTGAGGGGGCGCTAGCTCACAAAATAAGGTGATTTTAGGTGATTTTCAACTACTAGTAATTGACCATGATTTTGTTTGGGGTCGTCTTGGTGGGGAGGAGGCAGTACTTTTTTGGGGGTGTGCCTCCCTGCGCACCCCCATTACACCACCGAATTCAAGATCACCAATATGGGGTGGTCTCGGGGATCGGTCCCAATAGGATCAACTGTGTTAGAAGATTGGAGGTTGTTAGTTGGTACAAGTGGGTTGCAAATAGAATGGAAGGGTTTCAAAATTAGAGACTTTTGAATTTGGAGGTTGAGCAATGGACCTTTCCGCTAAGCACCACCCCCCCCCCCCCCCCCCC